TGGTGGACAGTTAGTCATAACTCGTAACATTTCGTCCTTCTCCTTTTTACCAAATTAAATAGGCTCACCATCCAAGTTCAACTTTAAATTTAAACCAATCGATCACTCGTTCATAATATTCGATCGAGTATCCGATTATTTCGAGTATTTTATCAAAATTCAAAAGGGCTAGATTTGTGAGTTCTCCACAAAGTCGGGAAGAAATTATCTGTGAACATAAAACAAAAGTCGCCAACGTCTTGTACAGAGTGTAAAGTAACGATTTTCATCAGTACTTTCATATCTCAGAACGTTAACTGACGTTATTTGCCGTGGTGATCGCATCGTCCAAGTCATAAAATACTGACTCAAAGGCATGCATAACACATGCATACCAGTGGACGAGCGGTACAACAAAGGTTTTTGAAAAATAGAATGCCAATACTAAAAAAAAAAAAAAAAAAAAAAAAAAAAAAAAAAAAAAAACGATCGAGTGCACAATTTCGAATACTCGCTCGTTTGAAATTTTCGAACGAATACTCGAATATTCGAACTAATCATTTCACCCCTAGTAGAAAGTGATCATGGCATGTGGGCAGTGGAATCAACATGGCTCGCATCATTTTCAACGCGTTTAATTTCCGTCCTCCCGGGGCTAAACACACATTTCGGCTGCATTAAAATTTCAGCCTGTACTGCTGCTGCCTGCATGCACTATCACACTTCAGTGCAGCAAAATTTCTGGCTGCAACAATTTTTTTTAATTTTAGGCCGAAAAGGCCACGGCCAAAAATAGCCGAAAATAAATGTGCCGAATATTTGTTGGCTTACAGTATTTGTTCTTTACTTGTTTGTGCAGGGCCTAAAGAGTGATCCTGCGACGCGCATTGTCAACCTGAGGAATTCCTTTCAGTCAACGGTAAGAGAGGGAGCAACGTCGTAACCTGCATGCAGTACTCCACAGCACTGCGTGTACGCAGTGTGCATGTACGCAGTTTGTAGATACATGCAGGCGTTGCTGGATAGCAGACCATCTGGTAAAAGGAGAGCAATCACTCTCGCGCGCCTTCGCTCACCATATTTTCATTTCGGGCGCACTTTTCGTCGCGCGCCTTGAGAATTTCGAGTGCATCCGCATCACTATGAAGTCCATTCTGTTATCGGCCCTCTTAACCCTTTGTGTACGGACTGTACAACTTTCGATCCCCTGGGATCGAAACTTTTCAAATTTTCAATCGATCGTAACTCAGTCATTTCCGGGTTATATCCGAAAACTAAAATATGTAAGTCAAAGAGAAAACTCCCAGCTGTCCGATGTATGGTTCCAGAGTTACGAAGCTCGAAAGTCGAATCGCGGCAAATGTCGCTAAATAACCGCTCGCGCAAATTTGAATGAGGGATTTCCCCATCATTCTGGGCATGTAGTGACGTAGAAACACGTTCAAAATGGTAAACGGACTCATGGCAGTTTGTGAAATTTTTCTGAAGTAACAGTTAGTTGTTACGAGCAAGGAGAGCGAAATGTCTGATGCAAGACGACTTCTGTCGGAATATTGGTGTTGCAGCTAAGACGCTGGGCTGTAGCGCTAGCATTTTGACCTTCGTGGTGGCAAGCGTGGGCTCAATGTGTTCCTCTTGCGACGAGCTTTCCAGGAAGCCCAAGATTGAAAAAATCGTCAAAAGGAGACTAAAGTTATGACCCGGATAATTATAGAATTTGAGGTGAGTCGAGATCAAATTCAGTCTGTGTACAATTTGACAGTACATAAAGGGTTAAGAGTTGTGTTCATCACTGTTGAGGCTTCCGATGGAAAATAAAGGAATACTACTACTACTACTAGAATACATTCTGCAAACACTCAAATATTTCGTAACTCGGCTTTCCCTGAACGGAATTGAGTAATCGAAAGGTCTATTCGCATTAGAAAAAGCACAAGAAGCATTATCACCATCCATCCTTCGCTGTCAAAACAACAGCCAAAGCACTTCGCAAGAAATCTTTTGCCCGCCGAACGATTTGCGCGTCATGTCGTTGCTGTGGTGCGCAGCAAAAACTGTTACCTGAAAAGGGGTCTATAACCATTGGTCTTCAAACACAAGTCTTATTATAACCATTGGTCTTCAAACACGAGTCCTAGTCGCGCAGGTATGCAGTTAGACTTTCATCAGGCCGGCCATGAAAAGGTCGTGGGAGCAGCCATTGATCAGGTTCTGTCATGATGCAGACCTATTGGGCAGTGAAAAGAGAAAGAAAGCGCCCGCGCAGAGAGGAAATGCCCGAAACCCGGGCACGCAAAAAAGCCCCCCCCCCCCCAAACCAAAGAAACAATACCTCACCGCCCGAAAGAAACAGCCAACCGCCAAAATACGGAGAAAACATAGGATTTTTGTGTGGCAGGAGGCAGGGGAAGGGTCCTCCACCCCAGCAGCCCAGCGTGGGCTCCTCTAGGGGTGCGTTTGGTTGGTACAATCTAGAACAGGATCGAACAGCTGGTGCACATGGAGCAGCCTCATACCAACCAAACGGTACTCCAGAAATAGAGCACGTTTTTGTGAAAAGTTTGCCAAACTTGGCGCATTCTTCAAAATGTGTACACGTCACCATGCATGGTCATTTTGCACGGTATATGCGGTATGACGAGTCCAACCCAAAAGCGTATGCACGTGATCATTTGGGACCAAAATCGATGTTCCCGCCAGGTTTCACTGTGAAAAGTGAAACTTCTCGGTCTGCTCCTGGCCTTGAGGCCGGAGCAAATAGATTATGTTCTGGCCGACCCAGAACAGATGCAGTCCCAACCAAACGCGCTGTTCTGGTGAATCCTGTTCTAGGTTGTACCAACCAAATGCGTCCTAAGTGCCAATCATTGATCCTTTTTTTTAATTTTCTTCCTATAAATCCTTGGCTCTCCATGCAAGTGCTATAGAGTTGTAATATGCAACTGATTCCCAAGCAGGGGGACTAGCTCACATGGTAGAGCGCTCGCTTAGCATGCGAGAGGTACCGGGATCGATACCCGGGTTCTCCAGGCAATACCTTTTTTTCTCCTGTTTTAATGCAATGTTGAAGCTGTGGATGCTCCGCAACGGTACTGCGGAATATCCATCAGGAATTTTTTTGGTCTTTTTCGCCCAAGGAGTTTTCGGACTAAATGAATGGCTGGGGTCACTCGATTCAAACACTCAAAATCCTCTCTTTGCTGTATACGTCACTTGAATATTTCACCAAATTTTCAGGCCTGGCCCATCATCAGAATGAAACACAAACCCAATGATGGGCCAAGGCGGAAAATTTGGTGAATTTTTCAAATGACGCATGCAGCAAAGAGACCATGTGTGAGTGTGTGAGTTGAGGTGCCCTGATGTGTAAATGGCTGCAATGGAGTCTGGCACATAATTACAGCTCACCAAGAGTACATGAAACTCAAAGTGTGCAGCTCTGATGGGTTGCTGTCACCGTGAAATTCCGGGATTACATCATTATAGTGATGTAGTGCGTACAAGCAGGATTCAAGCAGGTCTCTTTCTGCACAACTGCAGCTTAGTTGTACGCACTACGCCACTTCCCGCCTGAAATATGCACCAAATATGATGTAATCACGGAATTCCGCCGTGACATACGCCCATGAGGAAAAGTCGGAAGTTGCACACTCTGGGTTTCATGTACCGTATTTCCCCGATTATTGGTCGCACTCGATTCTAACTTAAAATTGTTTCAATTTATCCGCATAAGTAGGAAGTCACGCTCAATAATTGTAAGTCGCACCCCCCCCCCCCCCTTCTTTGCTCTGGACGTTTAGTGTGAAAAGGTGCGACTTATTTTCGGGAATACTCTTGAGCTCACTGAAAATATCCTGGTGCCTCATATCTGAACTGCTAATATGCCACTGGTTTACCAAGCAGGGGGACTAGCTCACATGGTAGAGCGCTCGCTTAGCATGCGAGAGGTACCGGGATCGATACCCGGGTTCTCCAGGCAATCTTTTTTTTCCAATTTGTTTTAGGCCACAAGGTAACCAATAGTTTGCGTGTGTGTGTGTGTGTGCTTGCGTGTGTGCGTGTGTGGTCATCTGCTTCTGTCTATGCGTGTGTTTGTATTCCGGTCTGCATAGCTGTACGAAGGATTGGGTCAGCTGATGGAACATGTTAGCGTAAGTCGGGGACTTTCCCTAATTATCTGTTCCTCCATGCACTGTGCTCGGCTATTGAATACCACTGTCAGGCTGGGATTTCAGCCCTGAGTAGAACAGCCCCAAAACACGCTGTGATCTTGGTCCAGGTAATCAAAGGCAACAGGCAAACATGCCCTGGTCACTAGCCAGGTGGAGAGTTTCACCAAGTGTACATAACCCCCCCCCCCCCCCCCCCCCCCAGAGTGTGCAACACCTGATCCAGCTCTGGATAGGGTCTTGGTCGAGCATAATCGGATCTTTGCGCCATAATACCGCACACATCTGAGGGGAACCCGGGGAGTCGCGTGTGCTCTCGGATCGAAAACAATGGTGCCCTGCCTAAGACCGGCCTTGCGCTGGTGTGGAGTGTACGCATAACATGAGAAGATCCGACTACGCTCGACCAAGACCCTACGCAGAGCTGGATCAGGCGTTGCACACTCTGGGGGGTTACTGTATAACACGTTTATTTCGGTGTAACTTTAATTTCAGTAATTTTGGTAGAAAAACCCTGCACCTAAATTTAGATTACACCTAAAAGGCACTAGAGTATGCACTGTATGTGAAGGGTATGCTGGTCACCTAATTCTACATTACACCTGAAACCTGGCAGGTCCCTGACACCGAAATTTTACTAGACCTAAAATGACATGTTGTACAGTATGCACTGTTGGTTACACTGGGCAGCAGCACTGTAGGTTTGAATACTGCTGTGCATGACTGTGTACTGTGGGGCTCTGAAGAGTTGTACAGCCATGGGTACTAGGAAAGTGCACTTGCTATCCTACAGCCATGGGTTCTAGGAAAGTGCACTTGCTATCCAACATACAGTAAAGCCTGTCAAGGCGACCACTCGGATAAGGTGACCACCTGTCCTAGAAGACCACTGCAACCAGGACCAAGGGATGCTATTTCCAGTCAAATGACCCTGGATAAGGAGATCACCTGGTAAGAGAGACCACGTTTTGAAAGTCCCATGAGCGGTCGTCTTTGACAGGTTTCACTGTACTTGAGTACAGATCAATACACCCGTGTTGAAGGCAATGTCCGTACTAAGCAAGAGTTTGTCTTATCAGAGTACGTACTAATGAAGTGTATGTATTATCAGAGTTCGTATTTAAAATAAAAAAGTAAATTATCGTGTCTGTTCCTGAAGGTAATCACGACGGCCGCTAACACCATCAGTATCAGTGACATCTGGCTGGTAGGTAGGAGTCAGGTAGGAGTCAGGTAGGAGGTAGGTAGGAGGTAGGAGTCAGGGTGGACGCCATGGGCTGCGGTGGTTCCGACTCATCCTGCTCGTGGACCTCCTGTAGCCAATTCGGTCGATGATGGCAAACTTTCAGTCGGTTGACGTGCACTATCAGACGACGTGCCGTGGGCTCTGGCAGCTTGATGCGGTAGGGGACGGCTGAGAGCTTCTCTTCGACTAGGTATGGTCCGTGCCAAACTTGGCGGTTGTACCCGTTGGAATAGCTGGCACCAGAAGCCAAACCACGCCACCTGCTGCAAAGAGTCAGGGAGGCGTGACAGGGCATCTGCGTTAGCGTGAGATCGGCCCGCCCTGTACATAATGGTGAACTCAAATTCAGGCAAAAATTCCAGCCAGCGAGCCACAATCGCCGGTGGATTTTTAAAGTTAGCCAAATGTTCCAGAGAACGGTGATCTGTGCGCATAGCAAATTTTCTTCCAAGCAGGTAGCAACGGAAATGCCGCGCAGCCCACACCAAGCCCAACAATACCTTTTTGGTGGAGGCATACCGTGTTTCTGTATCGGCCAGAAGTCGACTAGCATAAGCTATCGGCCATTCCAGGCCTTCCTGAATCTGAGACAGCACTGCTCCTAACCCCAGTCCACTAGCATCTAGGTCTACCAGAAACGGTGATGCATCTTGTCCAAACCTGGGGTAAGCTAATACTGGGGCGGTCGTCAGCACCGTCTTCAGATTCAGGAAAGCGGTTTCACAGTCAGGAGTCCACGAAAACACCTGTCCTGTTTTTGTCAGGCTTTGTACAGACAAAGGGCGAGCAATGGTGGCAAAATCTTGCGCAAAACACCTATAGTAACCACAGAATCCCAAGAAACCACGCACTTCCCCTATGGCTTCGGGGGTAGGCCAGTTCCTTACTTTCTCAAGTTTACTCCCTCCCGGGTAGCAATGTGTCCCAAGAACTCTACACTTGCGCGAAACAAGAAACATTTACTGGGTTTTAACCTCAGATCTGCTTTCAAGAGGCGGTCAAAAACCAACTGCAGCCTGAGCAAATGCTCCTCAAACTTGCTTCCAAACACAATGATATCATCAATGTAAATTAAGCAAATCTGCCATTGAAGACCACTTAAAACCACGGACATCATTTGCTGGAAAGAACTGGGGCCATTACAAACCCCGAACGATAGTACGTTAAACTCAAAATGACCATCTGGGGTCGCAAAGGCGGTCTTCTCCTTATCCCTTGGGGCCATAGGCATCTGGTGATAACCAGAACACAGCTCCGAAGTTGAAAAGTACGCAGCCCCTCCCAAGGAATCCAAAGTGTCGTCAATTCTTGGAAGAGGATACGGATCTTTAACAGTCACACTATTTAAACGGCGGCAATCCACACAAAAGCGAATACTCCCATCTTTCTTAGTGACTAACACAATGGGTGAAGCCCAGGTGCTGGTGGAGGGTTCAACTACCCCCTGGTCTATCATTTTCTCAACTAGTTCCCTTGCCTCCCCTCGTTTTGCATGTGGTAGACGGCGCACCGGCTGGCGGATTGGAGCAGCTTGCTTAGTCTCTATTCGGTGTTCCAGTACCGTGGTCCTGCCTAACTCTTTACTACTCATGACAAACACGGAGCGGTATTTGGAGATGAGTTCCTTAGCTTTCATAATTTCCGTGTCACTGAGATCGGTGTCTTCTACATTCAATGTGTCTCCAGTCTCTTCTTCTGCCTGAGTTTCAGCACCCGCGCCCAGTTGCGTCTCTGGCGGGACGGCGAGGTATGCTTACGTAGCTTGGCTCGGGCGGTGGTGTCCCGAACCGCCCCGAAACCTTGGTGACTTGGCCGCGTTTCGTTGGGTCTTGAATTTGCGGAATTTGTCAAGGGCCCGTCTGCCATTACCGTCGTGGTGCGGGGCGGCGGCGTTCCTTGCCGCCCGTTGTCTTGCGGGGGCCATTTTCGGGTGCCCCGACTCGAGTTGCACCGTCAGGGTGTAACGGGACCCTACAGTACTGAGGACAACACACACACAGCACACAATAGTATCACACAATAGTATCACACAACAGTATCGGATCCTGTTCACTGCGCCAAATGCCGTAGTCCGGCAACCCGGAGTTAGGCCCCGGAGCCGCGGAATGACATGAACTAACTTACTAAACTTTCACATTACAAGGCCGTGCAGTGGTGGACACTTGGAGAGAGTCCACCAACATAATTTCCCTTACGCACGCACGCACATATACCTTGACATACTCTCACACACACACTCAGGCATAATTATACCGACACGTACACTCACACCAGCGTTCAGGTTTACTCACATCTTCCAAGAAGGTAACTTTGTTCAAGAGACGATATGATCGGAGAGAGCACAAGGCAAGAGAGACGAAAGCCGAAGCTTCCGCCTGAAGGCGGAAGGCCAGAGAGAGAGAGAGAGAGAGAGAGAGAGAGAGAGAGAGAGAGAGAGAGAGAGAGAGAGAGAGAGAGAGAGAGAGAGAGAGAGAGAGAGAGAGAGAGAGAGAGAGAGAGAGAGAGAGAGAGAGAGAGAGAGAGAGGCAGAAAGGCGATTGCCATAATATCTAACTATGGGCAGGAGGCTGATCGTACGAACACAATGAACCATGGTACACCCGCATGCCGCAGTGTACCAAACCTTAGCAATAATGTGTATAAACTGTATCACGAAGAGCGGAAGCCAGCTAAGGAAATAACAAGGTGTACCAAATAAGGTAGGCGCCAGACTTTGTGTGAAGACATAAAATAAAGGCAGTCATGAAACCGTTTATGGGAGAAAGATAAACGAGAGAGCTTGGAAGCTCAGGGCCCTGCGCTATGCTTTGTTGCCTAGCTCATCGTGCATGTTGTTAGAACTGATGGAAATGCTTTTTCCTTTGATTAGCTACATCATTGCGAAACGTTTCACTGAGATACTGAAGTAACGTCTTCTGCATAGCTATGGGACCGGCGCTGACTCTGCCAATCACGGGCGTTCTGGAGTCGACGGGATGTCTGTCCTGACGTTTCCTGGGACCGGCGCTGACTCTGCCGATCACGGGCGTTCTTCTTCTTCTTACTATTATACTGACGGCAACTAACATCCATTCTGATTGCATTTACTCGTCTCCCTACTTCGTATTTCTTTCCAGAAAATCTCCCCATACAGCAGGGAGTCGTTTACATAATATGACTCCCTGCTATACATCTACATGACTGTATACACGTTATAATTATTATGCTATCGGCCTACATGCGATTCCCGGGCTGGTCGACAGGCGGCCCAGCCAGCCTGCTAGTGGGATCTCGGCTTCGCACACAAATCCACACAAAATGTTACTGCACTGAATGCATTCCCCCGATATACTTCGCATACCGTATATTCTCTATTATAAGCGCCGTGCTTATATTTTTTCAACACCCCTCTACCCCGTGCTTATATTGGAGACCGCGCTTATATTGGAGACTGCGCTTATATTTTTTCAACCAATACATCCATACAAAGCAAGAAGAAATACATGCTAGATATTATGCATGCCGCATTGATTTCCACCAGGACCGTGCTAATAATAGAGACTGTGCTTATAATGTTTCGAAAGGTGCTCACAGTGTGCTAGTATTAGAGACTGTGCTAGTAATGGAGACCTGTGCTTATAATAGAGAATATACGGTATATACTCATTCTCTTGATGGTACCTTACTCTTGATGGTACGGGACAGGTACGGGATAGCGCCAGGCATGTCGATGGCACAAACAAACAAAAATATTGTGGCCAGCTGTCTTTGCTGGTACGGTACAGTACGGGACAGATACGGGATAGCGCCAGGCGTGACACAAACAAACAAACACCAAATTAAAGCTGTGTGGACCCTGGCTAGCGCCAGACGTTACTGAAGTAACGTCTTCTGCATAGCTACGGGAATAATTAGACACATAAATGAGGCAATCTTGTCATGTGGAGACTTAAAAGGCCACGTGTCAATAGCATGGATACGACACATGCACGTGTGTGTGTCTGTGTGTCTGTGTTTATGTGTTGCATGACGTGCAGTCTATCAACACGGAGAAGCAGAGCTCAGTCACTGCTAACCTGCCCAGTGATGGTACTGTACACGAGTCTACCAGCAGTGTGAGTAGTCATTCGTGTGTGTGTGTGTGTGTTTGTGTGTATGTGTATGTGTGTGTGTGTGTGTGTGTGTGTGTGTGTGTGTGTGTGTGTGTGTGTGTGTGTGTGTGTGTGTGTGTGTGTGCCAGCTAGTCCGGTTGGTGGGTACACTTATGCCTGATTGTGTTGGGTCTGTTGCCAACAGGCTCGGCTGCTTGAAGGTGTATTGTTGTATCTGCCACCTTTGTTGGTTTCAGGGTTCGTATACTTTCTATTTGAAGTATACATACCTGTTAAAGGGGAAGTCCGGTGAAAATTTTAAATTTCACAGTCCGTAGAGTTCGGGGCGTTGAGTCGAATGGTCTTTGTCCGAGGAGGCTGCGGCCTATGGTTCGTCAGATACGCCCAATCGAACATGTGCGAATTTGAGCGCGCCTCACCCAGATCCAGGTGATGACGTCACAGCGTGCAGCCAGGTAGCCACACCATCTAGTTGTGTACAAAACGGCCATATTCGGAGCGCGTTCGATTGGGGA